AAGTGGCAAAGTCTCCTTGGAATAGAACTTGACAGCTTCCCATAAAGCTGAGCTTGCCATGTGACCCAGCACCTACCTACACAAGGGGAATTTCACACCTATGCTCTTGTATATGAACACACACAAACTTGTGCTCAGATGTCTAAAGCACTTTCATTGATCATCACTGATACTTGAGAAACTAGTGGGCACATGCATACACTGCTATATGACCAAACTCCTTAAAAATAAAAGTGGATGGCCTATGTGAAAACACACAGAAAAAAAGCCCAAAGCACCTCGTCATGAAAAATGAGCCAGACTCAAAGGGACAAATGCTGCATGATTCCATCCATATGGCATTCTCAAAAAGGTAAAATTATCCAGTTGGTAAATAGATCAGTTAGGCTTCCATGAGGAGAAGGAGAAGGAGGAAGGAAATTGATTACCAAGAGAAATGAGAGCACTTTTTGGAGTGATGGGAATAATCTGTCTCAATTATTGGAAGGTTACACATTGCATAACTTAGCAAAAAATATACCTACGTGCATAAAGAGAACATTTTATTGTATATGAATTATATGAAATATGAATAAATTTTTGTATGCAAGTGGGGTTTTTTTGGTTTTTTTTGGGGGGGGGGTTGGTGATATGAGTGGGAAAAAGGGAGGGCATCCAAGCCAGGAAGCAGAACTCTACCCATCAGAGCTACCTCTACCCTACCGTTGTCTTCCACATGTGGACATCTAGACAAAGCAGAGCTCACACCACCCCTGCTCCAATAGTCTCCAGTGACAAAGAGGTGATCTACTGAGCCTACAAAACACAACCTCTTCCTTCTCATTTCCCTCCACAGTCACCCAATATATCAAAGACCCAGAATCAACCCAGATGCTTATTAAGCACCCATGATTTACAATGCATGTGAACAGATACATGAAGATGTTTTCTACTTTTAAAAGCCCAGAATTCAATTAGGAAAAGGAAATATGTATATGAAAAGATAAACCAAAATGTAGGGCAAGATACAAAAGGTGTCACTTAATTGGTACAAGCAATTACTGTCATTCAAAACACAAGTGTTCCATCTTAGAAAATAATTCTTCTTATTATCATTCATTGAAAGCCTATTATCTGCCACATCCTTTGCAAGCATCATCCCATTTAATCTTCAAAACAGCTCTAAGATTTGAGTTGCTCTCTACTCACAAATGGGGAAATAGAACTCTTTAGGGATGAGTCATTTGTTCATCCTCTCTCAGCTGCTAATCTAGGATGTGAACTGGGATCTACCTGGTTGCAAAGCTTGTTGGATTTGGGTTGGTTGGGTTTTGTTTTTGTTCTTGTTTTTTTTTTTCTGTGTTTACTCTGCTTTTCTCTCTTGGCTGAGTTGGTTGATGAATAGTTTTGGAAGTGCTAAAGAGCCTAGTTAGATTTTACAGGGCTAGGGACACCCGAGACCCTTAAAACAAGTATGATTGAAAACAACAAAAATACAGTGCTTATTTTACAAACTGTATTAGATTACAAACTGACTATATGTTAGCTGGCAAATATTTTATAAGAAGTTTGGTGTACAAATAGCTGGGGTTTTTATTCATACCTAGTCTCAAAACAAAGTGAAAATTTTCCAAATATAGCTACCTCTCCTAATGGAATGAATTTTCCATATTGGGAATTTTCTTTAGGTGGAATTCAGGTTGGCTTAGGTGAAATTTATCCTACTGTAAACTACTTAGACAGCTCTAAAATGATGGAGGAATGCAATAATGCCCCCCACAAATTACAAATAATAACACCTATGTACTCTTTTATCACAGAGGTATAGTGTCAAGCTCAAACATTTGAAATCAAAATTATCAAATGCAAACATAAAGCTTTAACTGACTCACACTTCCTGTTTCACCTAAAGGGAATTGCCTTCTTTCGCACACCCACATTCCACTCTTTTTGTAACCTGCTGGTGCCCAGACAGCTTTGAGGTGGGTAGGAAAAAAAAGAATTTTGAATGAAGCATATACTGTAAACAAGTAAAATACTTTTAAAAACATATTTCAGCCACACAACTTTAATTCATTTAATCAAGTAAGCTTATGTTTGTTAAGAATCTTTAAGAAGATGACAGACAGCAAGCATTTTCAACTTTGCAAACTGTACCACTGTGTTGTAGCATAAAAGTAGACAAGCAATACATGGCTATGAACGGGAATAGATGTGCTCCAGTAAGTTCTGTTTATTAAAGGCAGGAGTTCCCTGGTCTACCATGAGTAGATCTTGGTGTTGCCCTGTAATACACAGCATTAGGTTAGAACTCAGAAATTCTAAGAGTTGCAGGCCATCTAAGGTTTCTTCCGACTGCTTTAGCTACAGACTTTCTGTCATCCATTCCTCTCTACCATGCCCTCTATTCCCTGTGTGGTCTTTTGACTTGACCAGCACTTAAACTGCCCATGGATTTCCATTAGCAGCTATGGCAAAGGAAGTGGATTTATTAACTCTTTTTCTTCACTCAATATCCTCATTTACAGCAAAGTGTGTACCAGGGAACACAGAACGAGATCAATACCCAGCATGCGATGAGGAGACACACAATGCTAGTTACCGTGTTCTCTCTCTTTCCTCACTTCATGTATGATCACGTGCTTATCTCTTCTTTCTCTCCCTCTGTGCACTTTGATTTCCATTTACTCTGACCCAAAACAGTGCATGTTTCACTGGCCCCATATTTAATACTGGAGGTCAGCTGATAAAGAATTGTTTTCCAAGCATGGTAACGTAGTAGGAAAGAGGCTTAGTCTTTAAAGAGGTTCTCTTCTCTTCCGTTCAGACCCCAGTTCACCAAAGGCATTATCAACCAGAAACTTGCTTTGAAATCCTCTTTTGGATCTTCTACTAGTTGACTCTGCTTGGCATTTCATCACTCTGTCTGTAAAGTGGCTGTATAATTAGTTAAGCTGTAAGTGTTTCCAAAGCTGAGTATCATGGATGCTGTATACTCTAGAACTCCTTAGAGCGGACTAAAGTGGGGGGGCAGTGTCATGCACTGATGGAGCTGCTGAAGAGTTCCATACAAACTGAACAGGCATCAGCCCTGTTAAACACCTTCCTCTAAACAGTTCATGGCACCTGAAAGGAACCATTGAGTATCCACTCCCAAATTCTCCTAAGTGTCCATAGTATGCACAGCACACAGGACCGAAGCCTCCTGATTGATTTTTAATATGCCACTTGCATAGGAAGAAGTTCCTATTGTTAGGATAGAATAAATATAATATAATAAAACTCTATATTCCTCTATTGCAAAGACATGGTCATTGAAGTCCCTGGACACACTGTTATGTATACCTGACTCCTCATTTTGTTATTATGATTTTTCACTCCACAAGAGTAAAGACTTACTGTGATGAACACAGAGCCTCTCCTTTTCAGCAGTTTCCCTGAACAAAATCCTACAGCTCTGAGGCGAGAACCCTGCTCTGGGTGTGATGAAAACTCCATTTGTTCCACTGTCTGGTGCAGACCCCACTACCCACCCACACAAGAAGCAGGGGATTTAATCTTATCTACAAGCTTTTCCTAGCATTCTTGTTTTTGGTACCCAGAAAGGATTACAATGAATGGTCCTGCATACTGGCCCTGAGTAATGGGCCTTCAAAAACGCAGAGTATTAGACAAATACATCAGCTATGAGATATAGCACCAAAGGCTAGTCCCACAGTATCGGCATTTTTAACTTTCATTCCAAAGTGACTGGATGATAAGAGGATACAATTCGTATTTTGAATTCAGGGTGAGAAGATCTGTTTAATAAAACTGTTTTGCTTTGTAGCTATACATCATTTCCTACCAAAATGCAAAACAAAGCCTGTATCTTTCTACCCGTCTCTCTTCAAAACATCTATAATGATAGATTTCCATTGTATTTTTTTTTTTCATTTCATGAATGAATTTTTCAAGCCAAAGTTTGGTTGCTGCTTGTTGATGGCACCACAAGCTTTCAAGGAATCTTTCTTCACACAGAAAGCATCTTGCAGATCCAGACAGACGGGAAAGGAAGTTGTTTGGGTGAATAATGAGAGCTGGGCCAGAGACTCCCATGGTGGCATGTGTGAGGCCGGATGAATAGGATAGCACTCAGCATGTTCAAAAGGCAGGCTCTTTTTCTATTATCCTTGGCCTGTTGCGCCAGCCCGCTAATGAGTGGACACGCATTACCATTCATTAGCATTTTTATGGGACTTTATATTTGCGGTGCACATTACAAATTGTATTTGTTAGCCTCACAACATTCCTTGTGAGATCATCACCATCGATTCACTCTTACAGAGTGGCCCGTTTTCTAGGGACTGCAAGTATATGTGCAACGTTAAAAAAGACAAATTACAGAGTCTTGGATCCAATTCTAGCAAAGACCTCAAATAAGGTTTAAGTCGGAAATGCACCTCTGCTGCTCTGTGACAGCTCCTGCACTGCAGTTTCACTGTTCAAACCCTGCTTAGATCCAGGGCTGTATGGCGTGACTTGTGTTTGTTTATTAATCTGCAGAGTTACTCTTCTTATTCTCTTTACCCTGGTCCTTTGACATTTTGACACACAGCCAGTCTTTCTGCCAGGGATGGTGGGGGCATCACGTCTCCTCTTCAGCATCTTGCACACTGAGTAGTTCATAACACAAAATACTAACCACTATGGGACCATGGCAAGGCTCCATGCCTAGCAGTCGCTCTGTAGTGTAGATCTTTTTTTTTTTTCTCTTGGCCTTTCTGAAACATTCTGTGCTCTCATCTTGCACACTTGGTAACTGCTGGTGCTCTCTGAGTTTTCTTCAGCTACACACATGTATTGACAGTATGGAAATCACCCTTGGATACTTAGCATATTTTTAAGCCTTTTATTTTTCCTCCTAGTTCTCTGTGATTGAGAGGAAGATCCGCACATGAAAACAGACCGGTAGATTCCAGAGTGAAACAGCTGGCAAAGCCACAGCCAGTTTCCACTGCTCCAGTTAGACTGTCACTCACCTGCTAGTGACCTGGTTTTCCTCACTGTGGGGATGATTCTGACATAGGTCCACATCAATGGAGCTGTAGAGATGGAAAGGAGAGCTCAGACAGAGACCAGCCCAAGGAGACCCTTGCAGATGTACCCAGAGCCACCAATACCTAGCAGAGGGGTACGCAGACTCAGTATTTAATGCTGACAGTCTCATTTCAGAGGCTTTCAGACAATACCTACATTAGACCATGCTTAGGTACATGAATGCTTTTTTTAAAAAAAATTCTGAAATAATTTCAGATTTCAAAATGGTACAGATTAATACAATTTATACATAGATACCCTCCACCCCGATTTCTACGTAGTAACATCTTACATAAAGATTGTACTAGTGCCAAAGTGAAGAAATTTGCATTGAAACAATACTATTGCTGCTGTCTTTAAGGACCATGCTTGGGCTAGAGTGAGGGCTCCGTGGGTAAGATCACGTGCTGTGCAAATGTGAGGACCTAAGTCTGACTTCTCAGAACCTATTTAAAAAGTGAATGTAGTACTGGAGGGAGTTGGAAAGTGGAGAGAGAGAGAGGAAAAGCTGGAATCTCACAGGCCTGCTAACCTGGTATACACAATGGGAAACCAACAGAGACATTGTCTCAAACTGAATGGAGGCGAGAACTGACATCCAGTGTTGTTTCCTGACCTCCACATGCATGCTATGACATATGCACACCAGCATTCACATAGGAATGTGTGCATGTGAGTGCACATGTGCGCGCGCGCGCGCGCGCGCGTTCTAATCTGGTTTTCAATCCTGGATCGAACACTGTATTTAAACTGTCCCTCAGACTTCTTTTGTCTTTTTCCAGTTTGATATGTGTGAAGAGCACACACAGGTCAAGTCTCTCAATTAGGGCTTGTCTGCTACTTTCTTATTCCAAATCCTGGTTATGAATTTTGCCAAAAATATCACAAATACACTTGGTAATATCAGGAGTCATGTGATTTAGATCTGCCCTGCAATTGGCGGAAGGAACTTTCATGGCCTAATGAGAGTGACTTTTGTCATATTCTCCACTGTAAAAGGACAACTATTCCTATGTAACTTATATGCATCATGGACAGATGCTTTGTGAATACAAAAATAAATTGTTTTTAACAGACTTTCACATGCAATAGTTCCTCTTTTAAGTTTCACTTTCTATAACTATATTCCCACAAGTGTGATCCAAAAATATTAAATGAAAATTTCAATCAATAAACAGTTCATAATTTTAAATTGCACACTGCTCTAGGTAGCAAAACTCCTCCTGGTATGCCCTACCCAAGATGTGGGTCATCCTTTTGTTCAGATATCCATGGGGCACATGCTGACCATGCCAGAGTCACATGGTAGCCATCTCCCTTACTAAAGGGACTGTTAGGCTATCACAGTTTGTTTTTACGTAATCCTTATTTGACTCAGTAATTGTCTAACACATGATAACCATACACACTTATAATTGTTTAATCTTTTTAGGAATTACTGTTACCAAACTTATTGTTCCTCGTTTATAAGTTAAACTTTATCACAGGTTTGTGGAGTCTGGAAAAAACTGTAGTATATATAGGATCTGGTATCATCTGTTGTTTTTGGTACCTACTTGTGGTCTCAGAATGTATTTCTTTTGGACAAAGAAGGACTCCTGTATTGATTTTAGCATGCTTTGCAGATTTTCTTTGATATGTCAGTGTCTTGCTAGGGAGTTTTCTTATTTAACTTCTTCTGATCTTCACATTCATACTATGTCATAGATACTATGTATTTTATTATTGAGAAACATGGGGTTCAGGTTGATTAAGCAACTTGAACCAGCTCCTAAATGATAGAGTTTAGCTATGAAAGAAAACCATATATGGTTCTTACTCTTAAAATTGATAGAACTATGCCAGTTACACATGGTCACTGGCTTATCTTATTCTCCATGGGTGTGTCACTGCTGAGACAGTGAACATACACTTATCCAATCAATCAAGGCCAATGTATAATGACAGAGAGTGCATGCAAACACACTAACAGACATACCTCAGGAAGGAGTTGAGACTTCGGTCACAAAACCATGAACTAGGTATGTCCTGGGTTCCAGAGGGTTGGGAGTGTCTTAAGAGAGATCAAAGCCATTGCATGTTTAATTGATATAAGAGCATGTAGCAACTCCTTTCTTATCAATATATGCCACATTCTCTATATTTATTGTGTTTATAATTTCTGTATGAAAGGAGACCACATCTAGCATGTTCACCAGAGTATCCCCCAAATATAGCATGTTGCCTGACTCATTGGGATAATAAATGTTTTTCATGTGGGTGTTCTAGTCAAAAGCTCCAGAAGTAGGTTCTGTGTAGCAAATTGCACCAATGAGAACCAAAATGAGCTGGTCTTCAAAAGAAAAGAGTTGGCTAGGTGAGTTTCTGTGGCTGTTGTTTTATTCTGTGCTAGGTAAAAGTACTTGCTCATGCAATATATGAGCCATCAGAATCAACACAGAGAAGAGTGACCTTCTTCCATGCAATGCTCTTCTGCCCCTGCCACCTAACAGTGTGTTAGGAAGACTCGGCCAGGCATTCCTTATAGAACCAGATGTAGCCAGAAGATCCCAGCCAGCAGACCTGGCCTGACACAGATATTGTAGAGGTTCAAATGGTGTCACCCACTTCCCTTGACGCCTGCTTAGCCTGGCTCGCCCACCTGATGGAGGACAGCTTCTATGACCCCTCTTGCTGTTCACCTTGGGCAAGCCCAGAGGTAGGAACAGCCCTCCCTGAAGTTATGTGCAGTCATAGGAGGATTATGATTGTGTCATAGGAGATTGTGTCAGATGCCCAACCGTGAACCAATCAGCATGGCCAAAGTAGTGTAATACTCTGATTGGCTAAGCCTCTATCTCAAACTCAGCCATTACAGTCAAGTGAACCCAGCTGTATCAAGCATTTGGAATGGATTCTCCTACATGAAAAATTTTGTTGCCAGCAATAAATGGAAAGAAGTAACTAACCACGAGCCGTCGAAGACACCAAATGTGGAGCTGAGGCGCAGCTCAGTGGAGGAACACTTGCCTAGTTTCAGTCCCTGATACCCTTCCTCCCCATCACCTGATGACCACTCCAGTTTGCACGTGGCTTTATCAGCTTACCCTCCTCAACCTTCTCTATTCTGCCCAAACCACAAAATACTTTTCTCTCCAACCTGTCCACACAATGCCATGATAACTGGGTGTAGAGTTTCTAATAAAATGACAAACTTCTGGAGGACAGAGATTTCTTCCTCCCCATCTTGTCCTAGTCAGCCCTCATTAAATCCCAGCACATGCTCATCCCGGGCATCACAACGACTGCTAAAAATATGAGGCAGAGCCATCTGCTGTCACATCAGCTCACGCCTGGCCTCCTTACTGACCACCTATCTACGTCCTTTCACCATTCTGCACACAGGAGAGACATACACTGGACTAGCAAGCAAGAGCCTGCCCCTGTCCAGCATCTAAGCAAAAATGGGACCCTGCCCCCGAAAAGCTAGAAGAGACTTGTAAAACCGAAAAGGTTGGATGAAACATTAAGAGTTTTGCCCCTACTGCTAAGGCCAGAGAAGCTGCCATGTGTAGAAAGAAAAGGAGAGAGAGAGAGAGAGAGAGAGAGAGAGAGAGAGAGAGAGAGAGAGAACGCACCCTCAGCTCTGTAACACCGGCCCCAGTTCCTCCTTGGCTACAGCACTTGGTTTCCATGGGCCCTTGACCTTGTACTTGGGAAACCAGTCACGTGGAGCTCCAGCTATCAGACATCACCTGCCTGGGTCCGTGCTTCTGACTTTTGTCTGAGTTTCTATTACACAAATGCCACCAATTCTGTCTTTGCAAGATTGAATTGAAGATTGAGCTGCCTGGAAAGCCAAGAGTAGAGCCTCGCCTCCCCTGTGCTCCTGCGGGGGACCTGGCGCGGGTCTCCAGCACACCCCCTCACTGGGAGCGGATCCTATGAGCAGATCTGGAGGAGATTTTCGTTGATGCATGTTCTCAAGCCCGCTGGCCTTCTGAATCAAAGGTGGAATTATAAACCAGAGAAATTGACTGCAGGCCTCTCTAGTATGGGCTCATGAGGCTGCAGCATTTCACTCCGTTTTAATAAGGTTAAAAATAGTTACAAGAGAAGCATTGGAATCGGGGCTTGAAAGAGCAGTGTGGTGCATCTGTGACTTGGACCTGGTCGATGTTTTACAGCCTTGCCTATTAAAAAAGCCAGGCCATCGCTGTTCTGGCTCTTACTCGGGAGCTCACTAACCACAGTGCCTGGGGATGCTGGTTCTGGTTCCCAGAACCAGGAACCGGGCTGCTTACCGCTGTTTGCAATTAAGGAAGCCAGGTTAACCACCTGTTTTCTGGTTTCCCATTAAGGACAGCCTGAGGATGCAGAAGACTTTTGGCGACTTAGGAGAGCTCAGTCTGACTTAGGACCCCTTTGAGAAGGCTGGAGGAACCCCATTAAAGGGACAAGCCTATGCAGACAGATAGAGAAAAGCCCATTAAACCCATAAAACCTCAGACCAAAAGGAGAAACTGAGGCAGAGATCACACCTGACTCCTCCGTCTCCTGCCCTTGTGAGTACTGGAATTAGTCTACCCACTGCGTACTTATAAGCAGAAAGCTGCAGTGAAGCACCATACATCCTGCTGCAACCTTCACTGGGATGTGATTATAAAGTCCCAGATCAAAAGATGGCAAGGATCCTGGCCTAGTGCCAGCCGGAGTCATGGCTCCTGATAGAACTACTAAATCAGGTCCGATCTGGACCTGAGAATAATAAAGCAATTAACCACGAAGTGACAGAAGCTGGGTTTCACAGTGAAGGCTGTGCTAAGCAGGCATTTAGCATCAGGAGAACAAGACCCCTTTCTTCAGCCACCTGCGGTCACCATCCCCCACACACAACAGCACTCCCTCCCCCTTACAACTGGTTGAAAGGGAAAAATTAAGCCCAGGCCTCCACTAACAGGCAGACAGGGAGGGGACAAGGGACAGACCCGTCATTCAGAGGCCTCCAGAGGACATTTTGACTTGGCTCAGGAAAGAATAAAAGAGCTTACTAACTACTCAGAACTTTTCAAAGCCAGACTCCAACTACTTAGTTAATTGGCAGAATGAAAGGCAAGGAGGTAACGAAAGTGGTGGTGTTATCAAAACTGAAGGAGGAAAGTCCCGGAGGGGAGCACCAGCCTCCTTGACGAAAGACTGGAGATGCTAAAGTGGAGTTTTGGAAATCATGCCTAAGCTCGCAGGTCTGCGTTGTTATAATCATGAAGAACTTCCTGACCTCCTTGCTTTACCCTGAAACATACACACACACACATACGGACTAATATCATATTTTAAGGGGACTCTATTTTTTCCCACTTTGTGGCAGAGCATAGGACCCACTCATGTGACATGTCTTCCTTGCCAGTCACCAAGGTAGGCTGGGGTGGAATTCAAGAATGGTGTAGCATTTGGAACCCTCTGTCAGTTAGACTATTTGTCTTTCTTTCTGAAGAGGATCCAAAAGGAGAAAGTTCTAAAGGGAACTGTTGAACACCTGGGTGTATAATGATGGGACCCTTTAGCTCTAACCAACTGCTACAATGTTTGACAGTTCAGTGTATCTGTTTCCCTACCAACTTCCTGAGAGGAAGAATTTCACCCACATGGAAGGGGAAAAATGTAAAAGAAAGAAACCCTTTCTACTATCTCTTTAGAGAAAACTGCATGTATAAATCTATTTGAAAAGGTTAAAGAAACAAGATAAATTGGGTAAGTTGTGTGCTAACTCTTGAGAACCAGAGCAGTATATGAGGAGGAAGTAAGCTCCAGCTCACAGACTTCTTCTCTGAAGAAAATGCCAAGCACAGTGACAGAATCTTTGTTCACCTCACATGTAATACAGCTCTCTCAACAGTACGGACAAGCCAAGACCCCCTCAAGTTGAAAGGATGATACATCTCCAGACAAATGTTTCCTGTCCCAGAAAAACAAATTTTAAGGGCTGTGGATAGGCTGTTACCAAAATATATCTATTGGTCATGTTCAATACCAGAAGGCCTCCCATGAAGGGATCACTCTTCCTTACTGAGGAATAGCTGTCATCGACAAGAATAGAGTCAACCTGACCCACTTCAAATGTTCCCTCTGTGAAAAAGAACATCCTGCATGTCTGTAAGAACATGCATGCGTCCATAGTTGACCTGTTATTTTTATGGCGGTATTTAAGCCATTGAGGGTAGGAGCAGTGGAAACACTGACAGGCCCCTAGCTGGAGAAGGCTTAGCAGGCACCACCACAAGGGCCATTTAAGCCCCTCTCTTCTTAGGAATATTTGGCTCAACCAACGAAGCAGGGTAAACACGACTGGCATCTTAATGACCTTTGAGCATTAGCAGATGGCCCTTTTATGATCACAGATTAGCAGTACATGGTTGTTTGTTAATGGCCAAGAGCAGGTGCCGGTGGTGGCTTACACATCTTTTTGTGGTTGTTTCCTTGCCTTCCTAGGGTGAGCAAGGAGCTGACTCTCAAGGAACCTGCCTTCCATGTGCTTCGTGTCTCCCCTGCCTGTGACACAGCCCAAGCTCGATCCGCAGAGTTTGCAAGGGAGGACCTCAACGCTTTAGTCTCTTCTCCTCCCCTTCCTTCCTCTTTCTTTCCTTTCTGGCCACTCCTTTTTCTTCTCTCTCCATCACCCTCTCCTTTCATCACTCTGAAAACAGCCTCATCTGAGGCCCAGTGCCTTACAGGTTTTGGATTGTGTAAACCCAGCAGCAAAAGAAATCCTGGCACACTAGACATTTCTACAGGAAGATGTCTGGTACTTTCAATATAAATGACAAAAAGAAGAAATCACAGCCATAGCTTGATCTAAAGCTAATTAAATGAGTCAGCCCACACCCAACCCATACGGCACTGAAACCTTCTTTCTGCCATTTGCAACATCCAGCCCAGGCCACCTGGTAGACCACGTCTTGCCACCAAGGTCCTCGCCTTTGGGACCGCTTTCCACGGCATCCGTCTCTCACTCCCATGCTCTTCTATCCCCAAGAAGAAAACCAGCCGTGTGGAGCTAGTGCCCGGGTTATGGAAATGATTTTCTACCCATGTTTGTGCAAATACCCCTCCACATAGTTTATTTCATTGCTAGAGCAACTCAGGAGGGCACTGGGATGCAGAGTAATTGCCAAATTGCTCTGTCTGTATTCATCTCCGTGGGTGGGGAAGGGAACTCCTACAATTAGCCTCAGATGCTGACAGGCTCCAGGCCTCTGGGGCTGCAAATACTCAGAGAAGCCAAGGAAGCCAATCACAGATTAAAAGTAAGACAGGTCTGGGTGATCAGGTGGTTTCTTTCCCATCCCAGGTTCTGAAGGCGGCATGGCTGTGTGGTCCACTGCAAATCCTACATAGAGCTAGCCCTTGCCTGAAATAAAGTTGATGCATTCCTAAAAAGTAAGTTGAACATTCATCATTGGGAAAGAATATTTTCACTGTAATACGTCTATTACAACTTCCTTATATAATGCAGCTCAGGAAATTGCAGGCAACTTGAGAGAGAGAGAGAGAGAGAGAGAGAGAGAGAGAGAGAGATCTCCCAAAGGCCAGGTTTGTCATAGGAATGAATGGAAATATGGACATTTTCAGGAAAAAAAAAAATTGGATGGGTTGAGGGACTTCGTCTGTGTTTTGACAGGATTGTTCATTTAAAACAAATCCTATTTT